TCGATTCTGAGTCCGAGAGACCTTTGAAACTACGGCTTCATGATCGTCCTGCTTGATGTGGTTCCTTGGACCTTGTACAACGGGATGCTCTTGCGCTTTTATTCCTCTAGACATGCCGCCATCTTCTTCCTGCATCCTCCTCTGTTCGTCAATCACTGCCTGACGCTCTCGTTCTGTGGAAGGTCGACGTGAAGTTCGATTCATATTACTCTCGCACCGATCGCCGCCCTGAGCAGTCCTACCCGCGGTCGGAGGAGGTTCGACGTCGTGTTCTTTTTCTCCTAACACAACAAGAACTTCTGCCTGTTTTATTTTCTCATCACCCGGAGGTGCAGCTCTTCTATCTCCCTCGACGCAATTTGATTCTTCTTTCGCACCGCCGGAGAGCTGCACCACTCTCGATTGATGCAATGCGAAGTGCGGCGTGGGCGACGTACTGATGGCGGACAAGATTTTCTCCTCTGCTTTATGCTCATAATCAGGCGAAGCGATCGGAATTTTTGGCTTTGCTGCTACTGCCGCTGCAGGCTGATTTATTTTCCGCTGATTTTTTTCGTTCATCTCAGTGTCCGCACGCTGGTCGGCCTGGTAACTCTGATCTCTTCCCTTGTTGGCCACATCAGGCGCGGCTTCCTCAAGCAGCGTCCTGGAACAAAGCTTCAAAGTAGTAGAAGCGGGTTCCTTATTGTCTATTTGTCTTTCTCTTTCCACAGCCGTGATGTTTATTCCCTCGTGATCTTCAGCTTGTGTTCCTTCGTGTTGTTCCTGCTCCTGCGCATGAGATGAATCATCTTGTCCGAAGGCACTACCGACAGGTCTTCCGGGAATCGATTCATCCCGATCAGAACAAACCGCGGACTGTAGCTCTTTATCCTCCCCCGCTGATCCTAGTTCTTGAACTCGCGCATCACCGTCCACAAGGCTTCCGAACTCGGCCTCTACAGAAGGAATCACCGCGAGGACAATCGCGGCCGTGTCTTCTACGATTTGATCTTCCTGAGCACCACGAGGACCTGCTCCAACAGTCTTACTACTTCCGGCTGGGTTCCTCGCAGCAGAGTAGCTGTCGTTCTGAAGTTCGAGATTCTTGTGGGTCAACAACATTTTCTCAGAGTTGTCCTTCGCAGAATTCTGATCATCCGCAACACTGGATAAACTTTTCACCTCTTGCACGGCACATAAGACAGGCGGTGCTAGTACAACAACTCCCGTGACGTCGCTCCGGCTGCTGGCGCCGTAGCTCTCATCCAAAGGCGTGTTCCGCTGACTGGCAAAAGACTGGATGTGGCCGTAATGCGCCGGACTCCGGAGCGCGTGGTCTACATTGCAGAAGCTGTACGGCTCCTGAAAGGCGGGCTCGATCGGTTTTGTCCGCGACCTCTCTCGGTCGAGCACGTCCTTGACCTGCTTTTTCCGATCGGACCAGTAGACGACAAGGTCTTCGGTTCTGCCGTATGTTCGGCTTGGGTGGTCAGTCACCAAGTAGGACCACCGCTTAATTGGTGGAATCCGCTCCCGTATGCATTGCAAATATGTCTGGGTCTGGAATCATGGAACTTGTGATGCTAGTCCTACATTCCTGTAAAATCTGTATTGCATAACTAATAACAAGGACGCCCTCTTTGGTCGTACAAAAGCGCAGTTTCTCATGGAGACTGAGCATGAGAGAGCGTTCTACAAACTTGTCATGCTTGGCTGCATTGGCAAATATTTCAGTCGTCCACAGTTCAGCATCACAAGGTCCCAGACCCAGACATATTTGCAGTTGATATCCCGAACGTTCGCCTGGATCTTCGCGACAAAATTGCGAATCTCGTGCATAAACACATATCCTGCGTAAAAACGTCCCCACCCCGCCAGAGTTGTCATGCAAATCTGCATGCCAAAAAAGTTTCTCATGCGGAGCCACATGAGAAGCATTTTCTAGTGATGTTTTGGGATTTGTGATGCTATAAGTCCCAAGATATGCTAGATCTGTGATGCTGCTGAACTAGCTAAACAGGATTACACTACGAGGACAAACTTGTCATGCGAAACAACCAAAGTTGCCTGATTTGTCTAGCAGATTTTCCATCCTGACTCTGGTATGGGGACGTTTTTACAAAGGATAACACAGGCAACATTTTCTTCTTACTACTTTTCGCAACACCATCACCTTCGGGTCCTTTTACTTCGGCTGCCGGACTGGGGCAGTAGGGTAGGATCGGCGAGGGCGTTTTGTACTTCTCTAATTCTTCCCGCCGTTTTTGTTCCTCCGCCGCGAGCTCCTTTTCCATTTGGAGAATCTCCGAATCCAGGTCCGAACTTTCAGTCGAGGAAGAAGAGGAAGACGAGGTGCTGGAAGATCTGGTACTTCTGGTATTGCCTTCTTTTGTTGATAAAGTCGCTCGTAGTTTCTTCTTGCGCCGCCTTCGCCGTCTCTTCGCCAAAATTTTCGTGCCCCCGGGCGTGAGGGCGGTAATTTCTGCTCGCGGGGATTTCATCTCGGCGAAAATTTCTTCGTCCTCTTCCGCCTTTCTCTTCCGGTCTAGCTATCCTGGGTAAAAACGTCCCCACCCCATAGTCAAGATGGGAAATCTGCAACACAAGTCTCCAAGTTTTGGGAGTTCTGCATGACAAGTTTCCATCTGCAGTGTAGTGCTGGTAAGCAAGGGGAGGCGCATGAGAAAGCCATTTTTTCATTCTGTTTACAGCATTACAAATACAAACACACGATTGGAAACGCCTCTCGTGGAGATGCGCATTACAAATGTTCCCGTCATTCCACCTTTGCATGACAACTCTGGGGTGGGGACGTTTTTACAAAGGATACTAGCGCGAGCTTGTTCTGCTGCTCGATCTCGTGCTTCATTTCTTTCGCGCGGACGGTCAGTATCAACTCTAAAAGTGTCTGGGTCTGGAAGATTCTGACACTTGTCATGCAGGTTTTGCATGAGCCATGATGTCTGTGTTGCATACCCTAACAATACAGATTTTTTGAGGGCTTCTTAATGCATATTCGGCATGACAAATGCCTTCTCAGCGTAGCAAAAATTGCACTCCCGTTGGTACTCATGCAATACAGATTTTTTTGGGAATCCAAATGCAGCATCACAGGTTGCATTCTTCCAGACCCAGACATTTTTGCACTTGGTAGTCAGAATCCGGATGACGAAGAGGTAACAGAAAATCGACGCCCAGCAGCCCATTTGGTTGGTTTCGGAGGTGTTCAGAAACCACAAGTCAGTCGCTTCGATTACCGGCCAGGAGTAATTTAATGCCGTGTCGAGGAATAACAAAAGCAGGCACTTGAAGAACAGCACCAAGCTGAAGAGCATTTGAAGCAGTTTGATTTTTGAAACCCGCTTTTCAAAATACCGGATCAACATCTTTTCCTGCCCGTTCAAATAGTCGTCGAGGGAAGCAGGAGGACGGTGTTGCAGATCTTTCTCTGCGGAGGACGTCGTGCTGTCTTCGTCCTCGTGTTTTTTTCTTTTCTTTCTCCCCAAAGGGTTCGCCGGTACGGGGTCCACGTGCAGTAGATCGTTCTTCCGAAAATACAGATCATCCAAATATTCGGTCGCGCGCACCGTCCGGGGGGGCACCCGGGGGAGCGGTTTATCCGCCTCCTCGGGGCGAATCGAGGGGCGGAATATGATGTCGCTGAGCATCTTTGGCACAGGCATTTTTGTTTCAGTTTGTTTGCGCAAGTTTCTTCGAAATTGATGCAGAAATAACCGGGTTGTAGTACTGGCTTATGTTCTCTGTCGCGTCGTGCCAGCACCGAGAATGAACCAGCCGCTCCCTGTGCGCTGTGCAGTTCTGCTGGTGCCGGTTGGTCCTTACATATTAGTTCCAATGCGTATGCGATTGCCAACGACTGGTGCAACTCCGGCCTCTAGTCGCAATTAGGTCCCCTTCATGATCCCGGCTACCCTTTCAGGAAGTAGGAGCAACTGCTCCAGCGGCATTCTCAATTTGTAGTGGATGATCCGCACGACCCTCAGGTTGCGCCACCACGGACGCAGGTGCATGATCCGCTCCTGCTGCAACCGGGGCCTGTGGCTGTCCCTGCTCTTGTCCCTCCACCTCTTGTGGACCACGTCGCTCGTCGACAGGAGGCGGCAAATCCGCTTGAAATCGCCTGTGTGCAGCCTCCGCTTCTTGCCGCGCAGGAGGCCGCTCCTGATCCTGCAGGGGAGGCAGGAGCTGCTCCCCAATTTCCCCCTGTTGCCCCCCGACAGGCTGCTGCTGCTGCTGCGGACCTCCCGATTCAGGGAGTTCGATCGTATCTGAGGGCGGCGGCAGCTCGGAGACTGTGGATTCCGAGAGCGAGATGTCGCTGCTGCTGGTCTCACTGCTGTCGCTATCGCTGTCCGTCACAAGCGCAGCGATGAGCCTCTCCGCCATTGCTGAGGAGGTACTTATTATCCAGTACACAAAATAGTTTGAAGGTGTTATTGAAAAATTTGTTTCGATTGGGTGAGACAGCGCCGGTCCACAAAAATACGATTGTAATCAGATCAGAAACTAGGATGGTGCCGGTTCGTAGTCACGTACACGACCTTATCGTTATTTATTGTCAACAAGAAGAACTTCCTACGTTATGGATTGCTCAAAGGCAAGCAGCTTCAAGTTCTTGAATAGTGCGAATCGGACCAGCTCCAAGCTGTCAGTGGTCGACACTGACATACGGCGACACCACATTTTCTTTCAAGTGGGAAGCGTATGCAACACAAAACTACACAAAACCGCCAGAACATCGCGGGATGAACCAGGCACGCACAGTTGCGAGATCTTTGTCTAAGGTGATCTAGAGGACGCAGTTGAGCGGATCTTGTCTGAATCACTATCACGTCGCTTCATCGCCTGTAGCGCAATAGATCTATCGAGAATCTCAATTGCCGAGATCCGCAACTCAAGTGGACCGATATGTTTCCGCAGATCTAGTAGACGAGAAAAAAAGCATAACCAGTGGCTGCGCCATCTTTTCCTCTTCTTCGCGAAGCTTGCGACTGGGCGTGAGTGCTACAGCGGATGAGAGTTAGGAATATCTGTGCATGAACGCTCCAAAGGTTTGAGGTTTGCGTTCAGTTTGTGCGAAAGCAGCAGAACGGTTCTCTTTGTCAAGCAACGACTTGCGATGCGTTTTTAACACCGATATACCGGGAGAGTGACACGACGATCTCGCACTGTATCAACACGTAGGGCAAGTCTGCGGCTGCTGACGCGACCGCGACGTCGAATCCAGTAGTGCAGGATAGCACCGTGCAGCGTTCAACATCTGCACTTTTCCTTTCCATTTGTTTCGGCGTCGTTATTTGTGTAAGGCGTTCCCGGTCATGTTCGCCGGCGTTGTTCATTTCCTTCAAAGAGATGCACGTTTAAAAGCGAAAGGACGCAGCTCACTCGATGACACAACTAGCAGTATTCGGGCACTCAATGAAGAGACTTTTCCGCTTCAAACTCAGAACCAGAACCTCCCTGTCCCGAAGGAAGGGGAGGGCATAACTCGTACAAATCACTAGATTTAGACCTTCGGGCAAAAACGCAAATCACTCTGACTAATTCTATTTTTTTGACTTGGGACCTTGCGACGTCCACTTTTGACAATGTCGGTAACTTTCGCTTTCTCTGCTTTCAGGTGTATGTAACTTTGCTTTTGACTGTAACTTTTATTTTAGCTTTAAACTTTACGAATCTGTATGAAGGTTGTGCCGAAGGAAGCTTCTATTTTGCAGTTGCTTCTCAGCTAGATCGAAAGAAGCGTTGTCGTTTTACTCAGCTTCGTCAAACATTTTCTTTGCCGCCTTCAGCCTTTGCTCGGCCGAAGGCCGCAACCACGATATTGCATTCTCAGCGCCCAGGAGGTTATCACTCGGATCATGTGTTTCCACTCCTGTCCTCGGGTGACTTGTTTCCCGCAACAATGGAACGGACGGGCCAGGCGCTTGTGCCGCATTTTCATTCGTCCGTGGACGAGGCACAAAAACGCCAGGGGCCAAAGGCGACGCAGCAGGCACCGGCGGGAGTACGAGTGGACCTGCAGCGCGGCCTTGCTCTGGCGCGCCCGGGACTTTTGTCGCATCTGTTCCTGCATGATCTCGACTTTCTTCATTATTCCGTGCTTGGCGGTCTCTGGAGGTCCTATTGTTCATATTCATCTTCATCCGCGACCGCGGTCCTTCTTCCGTATGATTCCGACCACGTTCTTGCCGCCCCCGCTTCTTTCTTCTACTACGATGCCACTCCGCATGCTGCTTTACTACTGCAGGATCACTTCTTAACCGCTTTATCGGCAGCGTCAGCGGTGGCGCCTTCACACCTTCCTTGTTTTCTCGTGCTCGAACGGTATCTTTCGCTACATTCACAACGTCGACTACATTCGCAAATGCGCACACACCGGTGCTGGAGAAGCAAACATTACGAGCGCGGTCATCAGCTCTTCTTGACGTCGGAGCAGCAGCAAGTCCTCTACTTGCGTTCTTTTTCTTCTTTCCTTTCTCGAGAGGTAGTTTGGACAGCAACTTGCTCTGCTGAAGCTTGTAGCCCGAGTCTTCCATGTGCTTCTGCTTGTGCGTTGGGGGAGGCGGTGAAACAATCGCAGGCCCAGCCTGGAAGCAGGAAATCGGAAATAAAGTGTTCATCTGCAGCGAACCCGGCACAGCAGGCGCTTGTTGCTCATGCGATTTTCGCGCATCTTTGACAACATCAGGCCGCGTGCAGAGGTTTCTATCTTGAGGCGCGAAACAGGATGCGTCCTGCTCGATGTGGTTCTTTATTCGGTTCAAATACTTTTCCTCCTGTTCCCTTTCGTCGCTTTTGCCCCTCATCGCATAGTCGAAGGCAAACGTCTGCCGCACCGGCTGACCACTCGGTGAAGTTGTGCTGTCGCGAGGGAGATCATGCTTAGAAGAGTGCATCGTTGCCAGCTCCACTTCAGAATTACCCAAAACCTCGTCGCCCTTTCTGGTCTTCTGCCAACTTCTTTGTCTTTTCTCCTTTTTATCACTGCTGTTATTTCCGAAGGCATTGACCCCAAACCTCGGATCAAAAGACGAATCCGTATGGTCTAATATCTCTCCCTCGTTTTTGTTCTCAGACACCAGCAACGCCGACGTTCTCCTCCCCATTTTTCCGAGTTTCCCCGCGAAAGCTTTTACGAAGTTGCCGAATCTACTTCCCCGTCTCAAATATTTCTTTTCCATTGCTTTCTCCAGCAAGTTTTCCAAAGACGTGCTGGCGTACTGGTACAACACGGATGCTAATCTTGGTCTAGATTTTGAATTCAACGAAGAAGAAAGACACCGCCCACTAGAAGTCGGCGGACTTTGATGTTTCTCGTCCAGTGGTTTTCTTTGCGCAGCAGGAGCTCCCGCAGTTGTACTTCTTTTCGATTTCGACGACTCTTCGGTCTTCGGTGCTCCTTCAGCATTTTCCTTTTCCCGTTGCCGTTGATTCTTCGCAATTTGGTTTTGCACCCACGCTTTCAGAAATTGTTTCACCTCGAGGATTTTTTCGTCCTTCCACTCAGAGCGAAGAGTCTCCTTTTCTGCATCTGCGTCGTCGTCGTCGTCCTCCTCCTTCACACCGTGGAAATAGTACACGACAAGCATGCGGAAGATCCACCAGGACAACAGGCACAGGTAAGCGATTTTGTAGTAGGAAATCCAGAACTCCACGTATCCTGAGTAAAAACGTCCCCACCCCAGAGTTGTGATGCAGATTTGCAAAGACAGGAAGACTTGTAATGTGCATCCCCATGAGAGCCATTTCCAGTCGTGTTTTGGAATTTGTGATGCTGTGAACAGGATGAGCAGATGAATCTGTCATGCGGCTGCACTTGCTAACCTGCACTACACTGCAGAGTGCAACTTGTCATGCGTGACTCACAAAACTCCCAGGCTTGTGTTGCAAAATCCCCATCCTGAGTCTGGTGTGGGTACGTTTTTACTCAGGATACCACGTGGCTTTTCATCATAACGATCAGTTCCAGAAGCGCTTCCATATAGCGGATGAAACTGCGGCAGAACATCCGCACATCGGGGTTGGAGCGGAAATGCAGCTCCACGGCCTGCTCTCCCGTGTAGTACCGGGCGGATTTGTGCCCATACGCGAGGTTGTTGGTCGTCACGTAATGTTTGCTGTGCTTGTTTTTTCTCCGGGCGGCACGGGTTCTACTGCTGGAGGACTTAGCACTTCGGCTTGATGCAGGTCTTCTATTAACCGAGGAAGCTGTTGCGAGCTTTGTGGCTGTTGTTGTTCCTGCCCTCGTCCCCATTGTGCTGGAACTGGTACCGATCGGAGCTTGTTGTCCTGTGTTTGCTGCAGCGCCGCCGCTGAGATTCGAGGCTCTTGACCCGCTTTGATGTTGACGTTCTGCTGCTGTGCTTTCGTTGTAATCAGCATCGTCGATTAGACCACCACTGCGGAGGGCTTGTGGGGACGCACTTGCTGCAGCCGCTGATTGTTCCACCCCAGATGGTTGCTGCGGAGGCTCGTCTTGGGCAGCTGCTGCGCCAGAAATTGGAGGGCCTTCTTGCGCAAGAACAGGCCCTATTCCACCTTGCTCGCCGGAATGTCGTGGAGCTGCCCGTCGCTTTTCGCTTTGTTCACTCGAGGTCTTACTAGTGTATCCTGTGCCAAAGTATCGTACTCGTACTGATCGATTGCAGCCATGCATAACAAAGGACGTGCTTCGATATCTGATTCTAAACGACAAGCTCTGAAAAATATGTAAACGTGAAGCAACCACTACGTAGTACGATAGGACATACAACTTTTGCAACGCATATACTGGATCTAGCAGCGATCGGAAGTCGAGTAGGGGACGACACCCTAGTACTCCGTGAGGTGCTAGATCGGGTCGTGGCTTGAAGTGCTGGACTATCTCTGCTATCAGCTTTCTTCACTGCTGCCTGCTGCTCCCCACTGTCGCTGTCACCCGAAAGAGTCGACAATGTCGCACCGGAAGCGGATTCCGGCATATTGCTCCCCGACCCGCCACTCCTACTGGTCGTTGAGCGGCTGCGACTCCCGTCGAAATCGCGCCGAGAACCTTTTTCGTTGTTTTGCTACTCGTGCATTCTATGCTGAGAAGGATTTGCATAAGTACTAGCAACAGAAATCTAACTCCACTAGCTTAGACGCGCAAGACAAATCTTCCTTCCAATAGCAAATACCGCGCTTCGACGGAATCGAAATCGGCGCAGGCCGCTTTGCGTCTAACGGAGACGCCCCGTCCGCCACTAGGTGACGCTTTGTTGATGTTTCTCCTGGTGCAGTACGATCTGCTACTTCTTCAGCGTCGCCGGCCATCGCGGAAAATCGTGGATCAGGTGCACCATCAACCTGTATTTCGCTCCTATCCTGCTCTAGTTCGCCGTCTCTACCAGCACGACCAGCAGCTGCGTCTACTGCCGTAGTGAAGCCCTCTTGCCGGTTTACCCTCGCCCGCTCCCTCGCAGTAGTGCTAGGTGCGGTGCTGGGACGGAGCATCCAACTCTCGTCTTTTGGTGAGGAATCCGACTCTTCGCTGCTACTACTGGACGATTCGGTCGACGAAGGCATGCCGGCGACGTCTGGGTTGAGATTGTTTCTCACGGTGGCAGCGGCGATCGTGGTCGCAGCAGCAGCAGCAGCAGCGGATTTTTTAGCAGCCGCGGCTGTGGTCGCCATTGCAACAGCAGGAGCTGCTTTTGACGTTAAAACAGTTCTACTCCCTGTAGTTGCACTACTTCCGATAGCACCACTGCCCCAGTTGGTATTACTACTAAAAGAACCAGCCACGCCAGCGTGACCAGCACCGATCAGCGTCGCGGTGGAACCTACTTGCTGCCGCACAATGCTCTGAGAAGAGGTACCAACAGTTGCAGACGTTTTCACCTTACTCAAACTGGAGATCGGCACGGTTGACCTACTTAGGCGGCTACTGATTGTAGTAGGTCCCCCACCGGGCATAATTTTTGTTGTTGAAAAGCGCCGGCTGTTCCAAGTCAATTCTTCCATAGGATCATCCTCGAACACACTCGCCTGGTCGTCCACAAAGGGCTCCGCGATAAAAACCGACTGGTAACGCACTTGCCGGTAATCCAAAGCTGGTTGTTCTCTGCGGATTCTAGTCGGAGGTTTCTTTGCTGGGAAAGATGAAGCGCCACCGTTTGGTTGATCCCCACCAGTACTCGTGGTCGAGGCCCGACTTGTCAAGGATTGCGATTTTCCAAATGGCGGAGGTCCTCCGGCGCCACTATTCATCTCTCCAAATATTTCATCGCCCTTTTTCTCTATTAACGGAGAATGGTGAATTGTTACCGGTCGCCGCTGCTTTCGGTTTGCAGCAGGGAGACTCAAACTGCTAGTGGAAGCTAGCCCTGCTCCTTCTGGACTGTCGTCATCCGCTGCAGCGTATCGTAAGGAAATATCCCCCCTCCCCATATTGAAAACGCATTCGTCTGAAAATTTGTGATGCAGATTTGAGGTCACAAATCCTGTCTGTCTTGCAAGAAGGCAAAGCCAGAGAGTCCGCCGCATTATGCCGGCGGCTTGTGATGCTGTTGGGCTTACAGAGCCGACATCTGTCACGCTAGTCCCGTACGTCAAAACCTCTCGACCCAGGCTTAGCATATGCCTGCAGTCCTCTCCAGCAAGACAGACTTGATTTGTGTACGCAAATCCAGCATCAGAAACTTCGTTTCGATATGGGGAGGGGGGACTTTTCCTTTTGATACAGCGGAAGAAGAGAAATCGTTTGAGTTGTAGGAAGTCTTGCTGTCATTCCTTGTATACACAGCCCCCTCGGAAATGTAGTGATGCACGCTCCGATGCCCGCCGACCGATACGACCCTCGGCATCGCCCTGGGCCCGACGCCAAAGGACGTCTTCATCGCGGACCTTTGCTGATGCAACAAGGAGTCCGACCCGAGCCCGCCGAAGGAGACCGTCCTCTTCGTGATTCCAGGGTGAAAAGAGGCAGAACGGGAGAATTTTTTCGGCTGCCGATGGACCAATTCCAGGACTTCCTCCGGCTGGCTTGATCTCTTCGGCGTGATGCGGTCATAGGGCGTGGCGTCCGCAGCAGAATTCAAAGCGTCGTCATCTAGCGGCGGGGGCGACGGGCTGGTTTTGGGCTTAGTAGTTGCACTTCCTCGCAGGGGCTCAGCTTGCGCTTGCAATTCTTCGATTCCGGATTTTTTCGACACATCTTCTTCCTCATTGTCCTGATTTGTTTCACTTTCCAAGTTTAATGCGCTCGATCCCACTTTGGCTTTTGGTGCAGCAGAAAAGGTCTGCCCTGGAGGATCGTTGTGCACCGGAGGAGCCGCCAGCATGCTCTGCACGGACCCAGAAAAACGATTGACGACTACATTGCCCTTTCCCCGGACTCTCGCATGATCCCCCACCGGGCGCTGCCGCCACGGCTGGGCAACCGGCGGAGCATGCAAGGCGACGGAAGGGCTTTTGGGTTGCGAGGACTGGAAAGACGAGGACGTACGATCGTAATCATCTCCGCCTGCGGACGACGATAGCGAGTTGAAGGACGGAAAGTCTCGAGCAGTGCCTTCACCTCGTATAAACCCCTGCAAAAGTATTCTTGCGCTCGTAGTTTAATTGCAATCATGCATGACAAACGTGGTTTTCTACCTCAACCTGCATGAGAAGTTTCATTTTTCCTTCAGCAAAAATCATTTCTGATGCAAAAATTCCTACTTCTAGTGAAAAACTTTTGCAATGCATACCTCGCACCGGAAGTCTGATACTGGTCGGCGTCGACGCAGATTTTGGCCCGCCGAGCCGGCCGGCTAAACGAGACAGGTTGGCAGGCTCGGACTGCGCTAGAAGCGGGTTCGGGATCGCGCTTCGGCTTCGCAGAGCGTCTACTTGTCCTGTACTTTGCGGTAGTTGTACCAAGCCCGCCCCTGAATGCCGCGCAGATTCAGAAATGAAGTCAGGTGGCACTGACGATGATCTCGCTGTTGCTGATCCACCTACTACGCCACTGCCAAGCCCTCCACTTGATCTCTGTACCTCTCCCTCCGGGCTGCTTTCCGGCGAGGCAACATTCCCAGTACCCAATTCGTACGCCAAATCTGGACTATTATCATCATCACCGAAGGGGTCCTCGCCGTTGCCTTCCCGAACGGGCGAAAGTTGCGGATCTCTAGTAGAAGTTGTATCTGCGTCATGAATATTCGCCGCTGCTGCTGCACCCGCCGTTGGGGCCGTTGGTCCCATACTTGTTCCGAAAGACCCGTCCTCTGTCGAGCCCGAGGGGAAAGCGCGAGTAAGCCCAGCACTTATTGCTCCACCACCACCACCACCCAGCGGGTCAGAAGCCGCCCGGGCCCACAGTGCCGAGACCGCGGGTAGATCATCATTACTGGTCCCGCTTGGCACCCCGGTTGCAATCAGTTCATCGGACACCGGGCGGGGGAAGGGGTTCGTTTTCGTGCCTGGAGTAGAGAAATGCGCGGGTCTCGTCATCTGCGACGCAGTTGTACTAGGACTAGCCGGTTGTCTGATCATATACGACGAGGCTGTTGCTGCTGCTGCTGCTGCTGGTCCTGCTGCTATCCCTTCTCGACGTCCACCATCTTCCGTCGGCGGCGAAGCACTGTCGGACAAAGGCGTTTGAATCACCTGCACGTCCTGATTCGCGGTCTGCTCTTGTAGCTGTTGAAATGCGGAAACCGAGAGTGTCGGAGGAGAACTAGCGCGTGGCCTTCTCACGCGCGCTGCTGTCATCGGAGACAGTAAATCCTCGCTTCGCTTCTGTTTCGCGATAGAGTTACTGGAGTGTCTCTCTTCGTCGTCACTCTGCGTGGATCCGGACTTTCTCTCGGGCTTGTCCTCAACATCGTTTAGAAGTTGTTGCTCAAGCTCACCGCCGTCAGTGATACCGCCGTCAGTAACAGCACCCGCCTCCGCCGGCAACCCGAGCAGCCCCCCGCGAACAGAGGTAGTTGTACTAGAGTGGTTTCGTCCACCTGCAGCACTACTACCTCCGCCACCTGCCCCGCCCGCTGGGCTGGACACAAACTTCGCCCGGTCTTTGAACGGCGACCGCCTTTTCAACATCGTGGGCGATCGGGCGATCGGCGTGCGCGTGATGATCTCCGTGCTCGACCTTGTGAGATGATGCTGGTGGTACTGACTGATTTCTTTTTCCCCGCCGCTAGACGCGGTGTTCCTGTCATGATTGCTGTGCCTGGTCGTCGCAGCTCCAGACATTACCCCACTGGCCCCATAATTGTGGGTCAAGTGCCCAAAACCACCTCTGTGGTCTGTCCGCCCCCGATACTTGTTGCGCCGACGTCGATCCAAGTACTGCTCCTTGAGTAAGCAGACGGCCTTGTCTTGAAAGAGATCGAACCCCGTGCGCGGGTCAGACCACCGGTGCTCGATGAGGAGTAGGTCTAGCGAATCCAACGCGTCAGACAGTTGTCGCATCATCTTCCTGGCCTCGTTGTTGTTCGCATATTCAAATTCCACGGTGACCGCGACTTGGCGAAAAAGGAAATAAGATTTTTTGTTTGCCGGGACAGAAGTATTGGCATTGGAGGTATTTTCATCGGCAGCAGTTGTAGATGTACCAACACGGGGCTGCTTCTGCTCCTTTTCGCGAAGATCCTGCTGCTGCGTGGAATCACCATTGATGTTACCAGCTGCACCACGGCTAGTTCTACTCGCATTGTTTGTGGGAGTCGCCGGCGCTTCTGGCGCTTCTTTGCTACCATTTCCGCCTGCTTTTGCCTTGCTCAGCCTTTGCTTCCTCTCCACAGCCTCTGCGGCAGTACTAGAACTGGACCCTGTTGAAGAAGCCGTGTTGCTCATACCACTAGAAGAGGACCCATCACTAGCGCCTGCCCCGCCGGGAAGGAACATGGCCCGCAGCAAATACGTCGTCATGTCCGTGCCTTTCGGGATTCCGCCGGAACTCAGCGCCGATCCGGTCAGAAAGGACTGCATGCTGGAAATTGCAACGGACAAGACACTGTCTGCACTGGCGGTAGACATCCGCATACTGAATCCCCCCGCCGAGTCTGCGGAGATCCCCCTCGCCCACGCGACGTCGCCCGCTTTCGGATGTTGAAACGGGGGCTGCACCAAAGGAAAGGTTGGCAGCGCATTGTACGGCGGTAAAACACTGTCCAGAAAATTCGTCAAGTTTTCCTCCTCCTTCTTTCTTTCACTGGAAGCGACTAGGTAGTCGACAAGTGCATTTGGGAACTCGTGGAATCCACGATCTGGTTTGGCTGCTTTATTGCTGTTGTTTAGCGACTTGTTGTCGATAGGGCTTTCCTTGCCAACATTGCCACTATTTGTTCCTCCACCTCCTGGAGGGGATCCTCCACCTCCATGCCCCCCTGCGCCGGTAACAGCTCCCGACAGATTTGGACTATTGTAATTGTTCACCCCTCCAACAAAAGTCGTACTCCCGCCACTCCCTTGTGTGTCAAAAGTCCTCACAGTTGAAGAGCTTTGCGTCAAATCGTTCCCCGTCCTCGCACCACCCAAAACACTAGTACCTGCCAACCCGGAGGAAATCGACATTGACAAAGCTGCTTCCCCGATCAACGAGGGGTTGTAGGCGTGGGTGTGCTATGCATTGCAAATAGGTCTGGGTCTGGAAGAATGCAAGGCAGTCATGCTTGTCTGGTACGACTGAAGGATCTGTGATGCGTGTCCAAGAAGAGAACCCGTTGCTTGTCATGCAAAAACGCAGCTGTCATGCGGAAAGCGCAACACTAAGCCACGCAAATATTTCTCGTCATGCTTGGCTGTGCATTACAGAGCATTTACCATTCACAACTCAGCATCACAAGTTTCCAGACCCAGACATATTCGCAATCCATATGTGCAGCCGGTGATGGACACTTTTTCCCGTCCTTGCCGCTTCCCTCCGCGCTGCCTCCCGCTGCTCTAACTTTTCCAACTCCTGAATGCGTTCCCGCATGGCGACATCTTCCAGTAAAGAGTTCGCCGCGCGGCGAATCCACCTCACGCCCATGAGTCTGTTGCGCAGGTCCGCGGTTTGCTGGTTTAGTTTCTGATAATCTTTCACGTAGTTGAAAAAGTTTTTCCCTGCTCCGGTCTGCTTCTCCGCGGGACAGTAACCCGGCATTAAATCCTGCCGGTCGGGAACGTCTTCGTCAATGTAGTGCGGTTTGTTAGCCAAGTTCTCAACAAACGGGTTCGGTACGTAGTCTTTTTTATTTTTTCCAAAGATCGCACTCGCCCGACAAGACCCTTGCCCGACCAGCACCTGACCGCGCGAAATGCTGGATGGCGTGATGATCGACAAGCCGGGACTTTTTCGCCGGTCGCGAAGACTAGTACTAGTACCTCCACCTCCTCCGGTGGAAAACGACCGTGGACTGGTTGCTCCGCCTCCGTAGCTCCTACCCCCGCCGCGGGGGGATGTTGACAATGCCCCCTCGTGCCCGAAAAACTTCATCATGGCTGCGTTGGCCTTTGCTTTCGCAGTCCCCGCTGCGTCTGCTTTTGGCGTTGTCTGTGGCGTCGCCAGCTGCAGGGGTCTTCCGCCAATCCCCCGTCGCTCGCGGAGGGAGAGGCCAACGCCTGTTGGCGTTCCGCCAGATTGTACTACACCTCCGGGGGCTTTGGCCTTCGCAGGGATGAAAGTCGGCGGCAGCATGGCAGACTGAGGATTGGCCGCGGTGCCTGTCGACTGCTGGTGTGCCGCTTCAGGAAGAAGTGCAGCTACACCAGGTATTTCTCCGGCTGCAGCCCCTGCTTTCCCTTTCGCTGCTGCTTTCGCCGCGATCGTCGAGAGAATCGCTGAGGCTGCCTTTGCAACCGCTGGAGGCGGGACTGGAACTCGTGCTGCATCACCCCCGGCCGACTCTGAGAACTGCACCGCTTTGATGCCACCAGGCAACGGCCTCGGTTGATCGTCATCTGTACCCGACAGCGGTGGATCTTGCAGCCGTAAAGCGCTCGGCCTCGACGCTCCTTCCTGTTCATGTGCGGCGCCAGCAAGTGGCGTAGTGCCCGCTTTATTCAGATCGTCCCAACTCAACGCCAAACCTTCTTTTCTCGCCCCCTTCTCCTTTTTCAAACCACCCGCACCACGAACGTCCTTCGGAGAATCGACCTTCGATTTTCCAGCAGTCTTTGCCGCAGATGTGGTTCCTGGAACAGCAGCGGCAGCCGGAGTAGGCTTGGCTGCTGATGCTGTCCGAGCAGCACTCCCAGCGGCCTTCGCTTTATTTCTAACGACCTGCGAAGTAGAAACGAATCGGTTTGACGAGACACCAGCCCCAACTCCATCTTTGTTTCGACTTTCCGCGGAAAGCCTGCTTTCCTCAGTGTCTCTGACTTTATGCGGCAATGCACTGGTGCCGCGCGTCAGCCGTTCGCCGTCGTCGAGGGGGTTTCTCCGATTTTTGGACTCCTTGTCTAAATTGCTAAACCGCCAGAAGCGTTGCAGTAGCTTCTCGAGAAAAATTTGGCTCTTCGGGGACAAATCGATGTCCTGTTTGATGGAAGGTTCGAAATGGGCCCCGGCTAGGCCACCCGGATTCCTATTTTTCTTGTCCAGCACGGCATCACTCGGGTTCACAATGGTACTGCTTGTCAGCGGCGTCGTTTCGCGAACAAGCTCCGGGGTTGCGGGTCGGGTTGGCGGGCCGGAAGTTCCTCCAGTAGACGAACCGAGGTCAGGGGAATCGGGACCTGTTTCTGGTGTCGCACGAGCAGCAGCAGCTCCGGTGGTTGCGCTCGCCTCTGTTCGAATTCCTGCTTCACCAGTTCCGGCAACTGCCGGAACCATATCACGACCCGCTCTCGGGGTCTGCTCCGGTGAGGTCTCGCCACCGACCGGTTCGTGTACAGGGGCAGAAGATTGCGCAGGTTTTGCGGTTGGCGCGGCACCTGATCCGGCATTTCCCCCGGGCGGCCCTCTTTCCCCCGCAGAACTTCCCCCGCCGCTCTGATCCCTACTAGCTGCAGAATTTTCCTTCGGTCCCTTTTTCGCTGGTATCTGCGGACTCCCTGGTCCAGCACTCCCCCCGGTATCTGCGGGGGAGTTGCGGCCACTGGCAGAATATGTTGTGCTCACACCACCTCCGCCGGACCGGCGCTTTTTCACTTTCTCCAGCTCCTCCTTCAGCTGTTCCTCGGATGATACACTGTGTTTGCACACTAACGGGTACACTTTTTTTTCCTCTTCGTGCTTGTACCTGTGACTGTGATGATGTCGAGAAGCAGTAGAACCATGCTGGCCACCATGGTGCCCCCCGTGGCCGCCAGCACCGGCCGCAGAACCATTACTTCTGTGCCCGTGAACATGGGGAAGATGCTGATGAAACACCCCAAACTTAGTATCTTTTCTACTCGGCTTCTTGTTCTCATCCAATTTCTCAAAGGATTCAATCGGCTGCCCGAATAGTGAGAATCTCTCCTGAATGATCGCCAAGTGCTTTTCGTGCCGCTCCTTCATCAGCTGTAGTTCGTCGATATCCTCCTTTGCCTCCAAGACCGCAACCGGGACGGTCTCCGATTTTCTCCATTTTTCCTTTTTCTTCTTGGATTCGTAGGAACTAGTACTTCTGTACTCCTGCGACTCAGATCTAGACCCCGTAGTCCCGCCGCGCGTCTGTGCTCGAGTATCACCACCTGTGCTGCCCGTAGCCTGTCCCTTGGTTTCCGCAGTGGTGGTCCCAGCAGCCGTCTCACCCCCATTAGCAAACCTCGCGCCCGATGCGTCTCCTGCGCCACCGGAAGCAGGACCTTCTCCACTGTTGCTCGACGTCCCGATACCTCCTGTAGTCCCGCCGCGACCAGCAGAAGTCTCCTCCCCCTCAACATCTTCCAACGACACCAGATACAAGTCTTCCCCCGTCTGCGGATCCTTTTCTCCGATTAACAACCTCCGCACACTGCCGTGCTTGTTGTGTAAAACCGCCTGCCCGTTCGCGTTGACGGAAATCCGTCGCACCGCGGTGTGCTCGGCGAAGGGATGGAAAATGTAGCCGGGATTTTCCACTTCATTGAAAAGTGAATCGAATTTCATCTTCGTCAGGGTTTTTTCCAAGTGGATCAAGTATTTCAAAAACCCAACCAAATCCGCAACCGTTTCGAGTTGTATCGATCTCCGCACGTTCTCGACCGAAAGACGGAATTCGTACTGCTCTCTGTTCTTCGCCGGTAGGGGTAACAATGGGCAGGTCTTTGTCGTCATCTGCTGTTGTTGCTGCTGATTTATTCTGCCGTCATTTTCGTTTTGATGAACAGAACGAGCTTTACCACTACTACTCTCCACCTTCGCAGCTCTTTCCTTCCCCAAAATCTCTTCGGTCGGGATCAATTTTTTCAAAACCTTCTGCCTTGATTTCAGCGCCACGTACCCCACGCCCAAACCAAGAGGCTCCAACCCCTCTTCCCTCCGCACGTTTGCCATGACGCCGGGCAGAATTTTGTAGAAATTCGGATTTTCCGCCGGGAGCGATGTGGCTTTGTCTTTGTCATCAAAGTTGATGTCCCGGACCACATCTTGATACGTCGATTTTGGCACTTCGTGGAGCACGTCTAATGCGTAGAGCGGAAAGGGCCGGCCGTCGTTGTCGCGGATAAAGTGGCCGACTTTGTTGTTGTCTGGGTTGGGAGAGGAGGAAATAGTTGGTTTTCTTGAAGATTTTCCGTCAACAGACTGCGGTTCGTCATTGGGATCCTCATCGTCAAAATCCATTACCGCGGGAAGAATCCAGGAAGCAGAACTGCTTCTGCTTTCGTAAAGATCAGCTCCAAAAAGAGAGTGCAGCCCGCCTCTCCGGTCAACATTTCTTTTGCTGGACGATGCTGCGCTGAAAGCCCCGTCGGATCTCCGATGCGTCATGCTGGCTCCCCCGTCTGACCTCCGATGAGTCATGCTGGCACCGCCGTCAGATCTCCGATGCGTCATACTGGCGCCGCCGTCAGATCTCCGATGCGTCATGGCAGGACCACCGCCTCTGCTAGAGGCGCCCGGAGCTGGTCGTCCTGCACCTCCACCACCAACCCCGGCCGCGTCTACAATATGGCCCGCGACGACCGTCCGCTTGGTACTTCCAGCTTTTTTCCGTTTTGGGCTGCCTGGTTCATCGTCGTCATCGCCCCAAATGCCCATATCCGCCACAAATCTCCCCTCCGCCTTCGCCGACCCGCGAACGGGTAGTTCGATCGCCCTCGGTGCGTGCGGAACCACGATCCGTCTGGTCGGAACTTCTGGAGGGCCCAAACTCAGAGAGGAGGACGAGTCAGAGGAATCCGAATCCTCGGATTCCTGGTGCACTTGCGCGCCGA